CCCAGTAGATAGTTGTATGTCATAGCTGCACATCCTTCTAGTTGCTGTATGTGGGACGCGGCCTCAGCGTGGCCAGAGAAGCGGTGCGTCGGTGTGCACCCGGGATCCAAACCCGGGCCGCCAGCAGCGGAGCGCGCGCACTTAACCGCCAAGCCACGGGGCCGGCCTGGAGTCTCTATCTCTTAAGCGTCTTTAACTGTGTTTCCCCCTCCGTCTCTCTCCCCCCTTCTCTCTTTTCTTTTCTCTCCCTTGTGGAGTATTTTAAGAAGCCGTGTTGTTTGTCCCATAGGGATGTTGCAGGCTGCAGCCATGTAAACTGGCAGTTAGATCTAGGGCCGTGGTCTCATTCAGGTTTAACTGTTTTGTGCTTTAAGCCCAGTGTATGTGAACCCGGGGCCTCTCCCAGTGAGTGTCGCACAGGCCCAGGGACAAGTGTGGGCAGGGCGGAGATGGCAAGAGGCCCCAGGGTCCTGAGGAGCCAGGCGTCCTCCTTGCTAGTGAGTTCGTGGACTGCCGGGAGTCTGAGGGCGGTTACTCTTTCCTTTGTCCCCAGGGTGAGGCCGTGAACCTGGGGCTCCTCCAGGGCCAGCCCCGCCAGCTGTAGAGGGGGTGGGGCCCTGGAGACAGCCCCGGGGGTGTCCCAAAGTGGTGGATGGGCACCATGGGGAGCTCCAAGTGCAGTCAGCTAGCCCCAGCGCTGTGGGCTGTTTGCCTTGTCGCGCGCTGTGCCAGGGCCAGCCTGCCGCTCGGGCTCCCGCGGCCTGGCGGGTGCACGGGCTGTCAGCTTCGGGCGCTGGCACCAGTTTGGCCAGTTCCTCCACATCTTAGTTTGCTGTGGCTGGAGAGAGACGCTGGCCTGCGGCCAGAGGCCTGGGGAGTGGATGGCTGCCGCGGCCCGGCCTGAGAACACTGGAGGCCAGCCGCGGCCGCCTTTGCTGAGAGCGGGGCCCGTGTGGGTCTGGCTGGAATGACTAAGGCTGTGACTCCTGGGACTGCAGGCCCCACACACCTTGAACTCGGCTGCTCCTCCCCGAGCCTGCTGCTGACTCGGGGGTGTTGCATGCTCACTGTGTCTCAGGAGGCGGGTTTCCCAGGAGGGGTGTCCAGGAAGGAGTCTGTCACCCTCTCGGAAGTTCCTTAGTTTCTCAGGCCTGAGATCTTGTCCGGAGGGAGCTCCGATCAGCCGTTGTCAGTGTGCTGTGCCGCCCACGTCGGCTACCAGAGCTGATCCCGAGTCAACAGAGCAGCACAGGCTGGGCTCGCAGATGCCTCCCCTTGGCTTTGCTCCGTGCCGCCCATCTCTGGGGAGCCGTGAAGAACTCTCCCTGGTCTCCTGTCTCGGGCTGTGGCCTTGCTCTTTTTGGTTTGTGTGGGCGTGAGAAGCTGTTCCAAGAGCCGGGGCTCCAGAGAACATGGCCTGCCTGGAGTGAGTCTTGGCTCACTGCCGACCAGCCACGTGGCACCGGGTGGGTCATTGGCCTCTGTTTCAATGTCTTCGTCTGAGAAATGGGGACAGTGAGAGCTCCTGTGTTTCGGGCTGTGAAGCTCTCATACACGTTGAGAGCTTAGAAAAGGGCCTGGCCCCGTACATGCTGCCTAAGTGTTGTGCTCCATGGCGTAGTCAGTGTCACGTCAACATCGCTGCCGCCCTGGCTGTCTCAGCTGCGACGCCGAGTATCCTAAGGTTAGAGACCCCTCCTCGGAGCTGGGCGTCAGTGGGAGCACTTGGTGGGCACCCCTTACGTTTGTAGGGTAAACGAGTATGTAGGCACATTCACCAGACATGGGTGCTTGGTCAGGGCCAGGCCCAGGAACAAGAAAGGGTCCCTCACGGTCCCGTGGGGTGTGTGTCCAGAAAACAGACACGTCCTACTCACAAGAGAGAATTACATGCTGTGGTTGGGGATAATGGCAGAGAAGGCCCGAGGAGGGACAGGTGCCAGCCCAGGAGAGCTGGGGGGGAGTGGAAGAGGGCAGGGGGCTAGACCACCTCTAGCCCGAGATGGCCGGATTGCCCCAGCTGCAGTGGTGGTCTGGCCTTTCCTCAAGGCTGGGAGGGAGGCTATTGGGGGGTTTTACCGGAGTGGGTTGGGGGTGAGCACTGAGCTGGTGTAAACCGCGTGCATTGAGAGGGGGCTGTAGTGGAAGCAGCTGGATGGTTAGGAGGCGGCGAGTGGTCCCGGGGAGACGGTGGGGAGTGGCTGGCTGAAGGAGAAGTGGTGGGCTTATCCAGCACCTGGAACGGAAAGCTGGGGTCTCCCAGAGAGGGCCTGGCTCTGAGCCTTGGGGTGCCCCCAGGGTTGGCAGCAGGTGGAGCTGTGGAGCGTCCTTTCACTGTCCCTGTGAGCCCCCATTTTCCTCCTGGGCAGTTCTGTGGCTTCAGGTACCATCCGTCTGCTGTGTCTCCCAGGTGCCTTCAAGCCCAGATCTCTTTCTGGCAAAAACAGCAGTTTCCGTTTCTTGATGGCACAGAGCTGAGTGGCGTAGCCATGTTATCTCATCGAATCCTCCCCACGTTACAAGTGGAGAAACTGAGGCTCCGGAGGGCAGGCCTGGTGACCAAGGCCGGGCAGCCAGTGAGAGGTGGTCTAGCCCCCTGCGACCTCCTGCTGATGTCCCTGAGGCCGTGGTGCCTTCCCCTCCTGGACACGTTCCCTTAACCGAGGTCCTCCTCCAGTGTGCGTTTTCGCTGCCCTGTGTCCACTTGAAAAAGTTATCGGAGAAAGTCTGAAACATCCACAGACGCAGATGGCCCTCCTGGCCATCACCCACAGGTGGTGGCTGTAACAGTTACCCCTCACGGCCAAGCCTGGTCCTCTGGCTGCCACGCCCCCCGTGTCATTTCGGAGCAAATCCCAGACATCACCATTTCGTGTGTCAATATTTCAGAACATGTCTCTAAAAAATCAGGTCTGCTTTTTAGTAAGTTAATAATAATACCAGTATTACACCTACACATTCATAATTCCTTAATATCCAGTCAGTGCTGAAAGTTCTTCTGTTGAATCAGGATCTAGATAAGATCCTCACATTGTGGTTCATGGGTTTGTCTCTCAAATCCCTTTTAATCCGTAGATTCTGCTGCTACCATGTCTTTTTTTTTTTTTGCAATTTATTTGTTGAAGAAACTGGGTCATTTGTCCTTTCGAGTTTAGTACCTGCTGGCTCTTTGCTGCTTTCGTCTCTGTGGTGTTTGTTATTTAGTGCAATCCTCTGATTTGTGTGTTCCCTGTCAATTTGAACTTGAATCTGGAGGTGAGATCCTCCCAGGAAGGTGGCACGACAGTCTCGTCTGGTGGCCTGTGTGTGTGACGTTGGCGGCAGCTGACGGACCACCTAGATTGTTGACCATCAGGAGTTACAGACGGTGGTGTTCTCATTCCTTCTCTGTGTGCTCGCTGGATGCGTCTGTTTACCTCTGAGCTTCCCTGTGTTTACCTCGTGGAAAGGCGGGACAAATGCTTGATGTTTTTTTGCCCCTCCCCCGTCTTTATTTGCCGGTTGCACACCCTGCTCCCAGTCGCGACATCCTGCTCGTTTCCAGGATCATTTAGGGGTGTAACAGTGGCCTAATTTGGGGCTTCTTCCTCTTCCTTCAAAAGAAGTCAGGAGGTGCCAGGGCTGCCTCCCTGAGATTCCCGTGGCTGTCCTCCACGCTTGTCCCGTGGTCGGTGCCACACCTCCCACGGTCGGGCAGGAAACAGAGGGGTGCTGAGACCTCCTCTGTGCACGTTTGTTTTTTATTTGGGAAGGAAAGCCTCCCCAAGGCTGACCCCCCCCTTGCATCTCATCACCCCAGACTATCACACATCCACCTTGCGGAAGAGGGACGATTTCCAAGTCTGCTTTAGATGGACTGGGACAGAAACCTACTCTCCCTGACACCAGGGGCTGCGGGAGAGGGGCCTGCAGTGTCACCTAGCCAGTTGGCTTTGGCTCAAGGAGCCGGTTTACTTGGCTGCCCCTCACCAGACTCGTGGCTCTCAGAAGGAGATAGATAAATGGGTCGTAGTTACTCTATATTTAACATTTTGAGGAACCCCCAGACAGTTTGCCAAAGTGACTGCACGATTTTATATTCCCACTAGCAATGCACAAGGGTTCCAATTTCTCTGCATCCTCGCCATCACTTATTTTCCATTTTTTCGATAATCACCATCCTAATGGGTGTGAGGTGGTGTCTCGTGGTTTTGATTTGCATTTCCCTGAAGATGAGTGATGTCGAGCATCTTTGTGTGTACTTATTGTCCATTTGTGTCTATTTTTGGAGAAATTTCCCTTCCAGGAAAGGGGCGGGAGTTGAGGCTCTAGGATCGTGGGCCTCAGAGCCTGGGGTTTGGTCTCAGCACTGTCAGTTATCATCTGTGTGTCTTTGAGCCTCAGTTTCTCCATTTGTTGGCGGGTGCTGTGAGGGTTGAATATTTGCACGGGGCCGAACATGCCATCGGCTGGAATGTTTGCATCAACATCTGAGAACATCCTTCTTAATGATCTTTTGTTTCTGTGCTGGAGCCTGCTTTGCTGGGTCCTCTGCAGATAGTAGGTTCGCTTATTTTGGGTAACCTAATAGACGAGGAGGCGGCACACAGATAGAAGAGCTGATGAGGGTCTGAGGGGGAGAGAAGTAGGGGCCAAGCGAAGGAGAAAGACCAGCTGGCAGTGGGGAGCACGTCTGCCTCTGTCCCGTGGCTGTTGTCGCATGGCTGTCCCTGCAGCCTCCCGCCCGCCCTCTGAAACGGACTTCCTTGTTTTCTTTGTTTAAGGAGGAGCCCAGGAAGGTTTGCTTCACCTATGACCTGTTCCTGAACCTGGAGGGCAACCCGCCTGTCAACCACCTGCGCTGCGAGAAGCTCACCTTCAACAACCCCACCATCGAGTTCCGGTACAAGCTCCTGATGGCCGGCGGGGTGAGTGTGCCCCGGCGGGCGGGCCCGCCCCTGCTCGCACAGACGGACGCTGGGGAGGTGCCGGCCGCTCCGTCGAGTCTCCGTTGAGTGTCCGTCATGGCTCTGTGCTGGGGGCGCCGTGCGATCTCCCGGGCGCGTCTCTCCCGAGTGTGGTTATGCACCCAGGACCTGGATGGGCAGGTTGCACAGGTAGCACCTGGCAGCGCTGGGTGGGACCCAGGTGTCCCTAGACTGTGCTGGGGCGTTGTCAGCTATAAATGACTAACTAGTCGCTGGTTATCCCCTCAGCTTCCTGGTTAGCTGTGGTTAATTAGCATCTTCCTCCCCGAAGTGGGGGGGCAGGGGGAGGGATGGGCGTGAGGCCAGACTGTCGGTGTGGCGAGGCGCTGGAGCCAGCTTTCGACTGGATTGGCAAGGCCGTGCTGGGGCCGCGTCACCTGGGCAGACAGCGTTGGCTCTCTGTGGGGCTCCCCGGTGGCGCTCGCTGCCCGGCACTTTTGTCCTTGGGAGGCCAGACGAAAGTGTCAGCTCTCAGGACCTGGGCCTCTGTCACGAGTTGTGTGGCCAGCGATCCTGGTGTGATGGCAGAGCGCCGAGAACACCGTCAGGGCCCTTGGAGAATGGGGGTGGGGACGGTTGGTTGTGGAGGCTGGACTGTGTGTGCCTAGGCAGGTGCAGGCTGAGGACAGAGGGAGCATCCCAAAGCCACCTTTTAGTGACCCAGAGTCACTGAGCGTTTGCCTAGCTGCCAGCAGTGCCTGTGATGGAGGAGTCGGGCGAGTGTGTGTGTGTGTGCACACATGCACGTGTGCGTTGTGTGGGCAGGCCCACCTCCCCAGTAAATACGGGGAGTTTGGGTTGAGTTTCTTTGGGCCTGGGGAGCAGTCCTTTCCTCTTCATGTAATTCACTTGGGTCTTTTATGAGCTTTTTAAAAAAAAGTAAAGGCAGTCATTTATTCGTTGCAGAAACTCGGATCGAGTTCTGCTGTGTTCCTAACAGGAGATCAGCCAGCGACTCTGAGCTAGCGTGTGCCGGCCGATGGAGCCCGGCCCCAGAGCGGAGGTGCGGGAGTGGATTCACGTAGACGTTTGTCCTGACGTGTGCCCGGGCGTTCCGCAGGACCCAAGTGCGTGGGGCGGGCTTGCCGGCTTCACGGTCCTCCCAGCTCTGCTCCCTCCACCTTATATTTGCTGCCAAGTGTTTTCCAAAGCACTTCCCCGAGGTGCTCCTGGGCGTCCCCGCAAGGGTTCCGTGGTCACCTTTCTCTAGGGGATAGACAAGCACATAGCTTTCCAGGGGCCTCTCAGAGCTCCGGGACCAAGGGACCGTCCCGCCCCGGTCTCTGCATGAGGAAGTTGCCTGTGCTCTGGAGAGGTGAAGGCTCACTGAGCATCATCTAAACATATAAAACCGAGGGGCGGGGGAGGAGGCGGCACGAGGAGGCGCGGGCTGGAGGTTGGGAGGGCAGGTCCGGCTGGCAGTTTGGGAAGGGCTGGCCCTGGAGGGAGGAAGGGAGAGCGAGGCCTCGGGCCGCGGCGCGGTGGGCTGTGCCAGCTGCTTTTCACCCCCTGTGAGGGCTCCCAGGGAGCCGGTGGGCTGCTCGGGCCTTTCCAACCCTCTGGAGCTTTGGACCTTCAAGGCTGGCCCTGGGCTGATGGCAAAGCAGCCTGTCTGTAGGAGCAGCCGGAGACCTTTATGGGACAGCAGCTCCTGAGTTGTGGTCCTTGTGTTAGCCATTCTGGGGCTCTGAGTGTCCCCAGCGGGGCTGGCGTTTGCTGTCTAGTGCAGTGACCCCCGACCCCGCCCGCGTTGATGGAGGTGCGAGAAGACCTGGAGGGACAGACCGGTCCGTAAGTCAATGAGAACTGCTTTCTGTCCTGCGCCCTCTGCCGCGGGTCCCGTGGAGTCCTGTGATTCCTAGCGTGAGGTTCAGACGCTCCCTCTGCGCTGACCGGAGCGGCTCTTCTGCTTTGCCATATCGTGGGAGGCCAGCCCTGGGGCAGGCGGCAGTCTGTCCCCTGAGCGTTGTGTGTCGTGCGCCCCGGCGGCGGGTGAGCGGTGGCGGAGGGTCTGTGTGTCCCTCGGGTGGCAGGTCCTCGTGGAGCACCGTGGCAGAGGTGGAAGCAGGTCCTCGTGCTGTGAGGGCCGCTACCGAGAGGAGGACAGGGTCGGTCTGGGGCGCGACTGAAGGGAGAGGAGACACTGAAGCCACGGTGGAAGGAAGGGGTCCAGGCGTGGATGAACTAAGCCTCTCCCGTCTGCCCTCCTGGGCTGGGCTGGCGTCGCCCGCGTGTCCTCGCTGGCCTCACAGCCTGGTGGTGTCCTGAGAAGCAGCGGCGCGCGGGCGCCGGGCGCAGGCGGGCTCTGGGTGCTGTGCTCAGGAGTGTAGTGGTCAGACCGGCTCCGATGAGTAGCTCCGCCTGGGCTTCAGCGCCTCGGAGTCGGGGAGCCAGGCGGGGGGTGGCACGAAAGGCTCCACTGCCCTGCTTTCCACCCGGTGTCCCCGTGACCGTGACCGAGCGTTACGTCGGCCTCCTCGCGTGAAAGGTTTGGCTCATCAAGGAATCCCAGGTGCTCAAGGTTATTAATGGTGCTTGTCCCGCCAAGCTAAGTGCTCTTTTCTTTTTTTTTTTCTTTTACATGCGCTTTATTCCTTTGTTGTGTCTCGTCACCGTCTGGAAGGCTCCCTCTGAGTGGCTGACCGTGTAGTGTTCACTTGCAGTGTCGGTATTTCGAGGGCTTGCCCCCGAGCCTTCTCTCTCTCTGCAGGTGCCACGGGAGCCTCGCTGGAGCTGGGCAGGTGTTTCCCGGGAGCACCCGCTGGCGGGACCCCTGCCCCGGCCTACCTCCTCTGTCCTCTGCTAACAAAGAGTGGGGCTCGTGCTTCCCGCCCCCCGCAGGCCCGCGAAGCAGGCTTTTGCAGAGAGCTGCGCCCACCCCGTGTAGTTCTCTCCTGCCTCGGCCTCACTGCTCGCTCCCTGTTTCAGTCAACGTCACCTGCCCGACAGTGGAGGAGGGCTCGCGCCCCGGATATGTGGGACCCGGCAAAGTCACACGCGTGTCCGTCCGTTACAAGTTGCTCGCTCCGCCGTGGGCGTCTGGCTGTCTTCTTGCCTTCATGCGTCTGGTCTTTCTTAACCGCAGTGTGCAGGTCAGCTTTGGCACAGCGGCCTTCTTGTGCTTCTCGCACATTCCCCGAGTCTTCTTGGCCTGGCCCTCCGGTCCGCCGTGCCTGCGGCTCTCCTCCCTGCGGCCACGCAGCTGCACCTGGGCCCAGCCATCCTGGGACCCCGGCTTCTCTTCGCTCTCCGCCCCTGAGCTGAGCTCGCTTTGCTCCAAGCACGGCCAGCACCCAGCACCTCACGGAGGAAATGCCTTTGATTCTTTTGGGAAAGTGACGCTCAAGCTTTCCCTTGCCGCCCCCGCCCCCCCACCGCCCCAGAAGGAAGCTCCGATGGCCCCTAGCTACGCTCCCGCAGGCCGACTTCCTCTTGCCGGTCAGATTTCCAGCCTGCCTCCTTGCTCATCGATAACATCTGTCTCTTCTTTATCACTAGGTGATGGTAATGCCCGAAGGAGCAGAAACGGTGTCCAGGCCCAGTCCTGACTACCCCATGTTACCCACAATTCCACTCTCTGCCTTCTCTGACCCCAAGAAGACCAAACCGTCCCACGGCTCCAAGGTTAGTGAGGTAGAAGGCCCAGTCACGTGGGAGCACTGGGGCCCAGCGGTGGGTCCTGGGCTCAGGGCGCCCCCTCTGCAGAGCTGGTCCTTCTGACCCCGGACTCGCTCCCTTGGCATCTTCCTCTTGGAGCTGTGGGCTCCGCCTGGCTGCTCTTTGCCACTTGATCAGGAGAGTCGTGGAGTGCATGGGACAGCCGAGTGCTCGTGGGCTGTTGGCCCTGTTCCTCTTGAGGCCAGAGAGCCTGCCCAGTCCTCCCCTCACACTGAGTCAGTGGGCCTCAGGGCCACTCAGACAGATCTCTGAGAGTCTCGAGTGGTTGGGGGCCGTGGACGGAGTGTTTGCACCGCAGCCGCGAAGCCAGGACACTTGTCTGCCAGGGCTGGCTGCTCCCGCCCTGCACTGTTCCAGGCTTCGCGTCTTTCTTTGACAGCAGCTCAGAGAAGGCTGACTCGGGAGAAGGGCTGGGTGGACCTGTGTGGGCGATCGAGCTGGTTTCCCCCAGGAAGAAATGTTTTATTGTCTTCACTCAGCCCTGTCAGGCAGGTGGCGCTCTGCCTTCCCGAGACGTCTCTCTCTGAACTGTCCTGGAGTGGCCACCAGAGCCCTGTGGATGGTGTCACCATGTACATATAAACCCGTGAGCGTCTGTCCCATTCCCCTGCAGCCGCCCGCGTAGCTCCGGTCCCGGAGGCCAAGCTCCCGCTGGCTCTCAGGGCAGCTGCTTGTCGTCACGTCACCGAGCTCACGACTCTATCCACTTCTCATCTGTACATTTTTCTTGCTTCACTCCCCTGTCAGGTGTTTTGGGCCTGGGGTACCCCAGGTGGGACACGTCAGCCTCTCTTAAAGCCTTACTCATCAGCTCTCCTGGAGGAGAGCCACGTCACCCAGGCAGGGTCTTCCTGGCACTTTCCACAAGGCCGATCGGTCTCTGACATCTTCAGATCCTCCGAATGAAGCCCTCTAGATAGACACGTGAGGCCAGTTTTAAGTACAGAGTGCAGCTCTGGGGGTCTCCCCCTCACCCGCCTCCCGGGCCTGTCTGGCCCTGAACCTTGTGGAGGTTAAACGGAAGAAAAATTCTTGCTAGAGATCTTGGCAGCTTCTCTCTCAGCCACCCACGGTTTTTCAGAAGTCTGTGCGAAAGAGGAAGAGTAGGAATTGCCATTTTTTCCGTACATGTCACTTGCAAGTCATCTAAAACCCTGGGAAGAAATGCCCTCCCAGGTGGTAAGGACGCTCAGGTAGCCAGCAGAGCCATCTGCTGGGGCTGCTGGAGGCGTCTCTCGCTGGAGTGTCTTTGAGACCCTGGGAGCCCCTGAGCCAGACGGGCGTATCTGCCAGGCTCGGGAGGCCTGTAGCCAGGTCCTCCGTCTCCACCCCGTCCCTGTCCCGGGATCTTTCTCCAGCCGCCCAGGCGGCGTGACTTAGGAGGCGCCTGTGTAGGTTTCTCAGGCAGTGCAAGGCAGGTTCTTCTTGGCTGGCAGCTCTCCAAGAACCCCCTCTGCCTGTCGCCACAGTCCCGGCGTCCGAGCTGTCAGCCTCACTCTTCTCTCCTTGGAAGGCACGGCCTGTGTGCCAGCCTGTTCCTCCAGCTGAGCACCTTCATTTGGGTGCTGGCTGTTACTGGCTGCTCCCCCCAGATTGGTTCTCTGCTGCTGGGCCACATGCTCCAGGCAGAGGGGGCCAGGAGGGAAGGGGTGGGTCCCTGCAGGGCCTCGCCCATCGGGATCACCCGGCCCAGGGGCTGCTGGAGAGTCTAGCTGTGGCAGCCCTAGGGGGATCAGTCCCTGGTCTGTCCCCACCTCACAGTACCCCGGAGGGTAGCATGGCAGGCAGGAGTCGGAGCCTCCTGGGAGAGGAGCAGGACCCCCAGAAGGCTCACACGGCGAGGATGCTTGTTCCCTTTGGTCCCCACCCCACGCACCTGGACTTGCACACCTTCAAGAGCACCCTGCTTCTCTCTGTCTGGTGTCAGCCAGTTAGCCTGGTTGACTTTGCTCTAAAACTTGGTTCTTAGCCATCTTCATTGACAGCTTTGAGAACGTGACTGCGATGGCTCCTCACCCCGGGAACATCCGCCTGATGCTCAGAGCTTAGTGTGTGATTTCACAGAGCCCATGGTCTCGGGCGCCTGTGCAGGCCCCCAGTGAAGAGCCGCTCTCTGAAGGCTCCTGCTAGTCAGGCAGGCCCTGGGCTGCAGCGGAGGCTCGGCTGGCCCCAGGGCTGGGGGCCACTGGCAGATATGCCGCCGTGTGCTCCTGCCTCTTGTGGCTGGGCAGCTCCTGCGGCCCAGGCGGGCACGTGACACTGTGAGAAGAGGCCGGCATTGCATGTGGGATCTGTGTCTTGTCTCCCTCCTCGGGGGAGCAGCTTGCTGGAGCCGAGACCCCGGGGACTGGCCACATTCCACGTGCCAGCCCCAAGGGGCTGTCCCATTACACAGGCTGCTGGGGGCTTGTGGTATGGGCACCCTCCCCACAGCCCTGGTGACTTAGGAGCCGGGGCCGGGGCACGGGGGCCAGTGCTTCCCCAGGGAGGCACAGGAGCCCATGGCCACGTGGGGCTGTCCCCGAAGCCATGGCACTGACGTGGGTTGTGGACTTGTCAGAAGACGGTGACCTGAGTAGGTCAGAGGGGGTCGAGGCTGTGGTGCCTGTGCCTGTGGCTCTTTGCTGGGAGAGTTCTGTCACTGCACCCTCAGGTGGGCTGTGAGAGCAGAGGTCTGGCTGCTGGGCATTTACCTGGCTCCCCGTCCCCTGCTGTACTCTGCACCCCATCCCCTCAGCACTCGGGGTGAGCTGGTGTAGTGTGGCTGCCTCGGGGGAGCCCCCACCCAGGTGGTGCGGGCCACCCTCTGGGTCTGGCTGCTGTTAGTGTCCTGGCGAGTCTTTAAGTGGAGAGTCTCCGGGCCGGGCTGTGCACGTGGCCGGCCGAGTTGGCCGCAGAGCCTCCAGCAGCTGACAGCAGCAGGCGCCTGTCCAGTGCTTCTGGACATGTGGGGTGATAGTGAGGTGTCGACAGGGAGGAGGCCCAAACAGGGTGTCAGATGGGGCTCCTACCCGCAAGGCTCACTAGCTGTGTGGGGGGTCAGCCCCCCTTGGTGAGCGCTCGCTGTCTGCCAGGCCCTGCACCGTCGCCCCGGGAGGTAGGTGGTCTTGCCCTCGTTCAGAGGAAGTGCAGGTGCACAGGGTTGGCGTAACCTGGCCTGGCCTCCCTGGCCGCCCGGAGCAGGCCCGCTGTCTGCCTCTGTCCCCCGTGGGAGCTCCACCACCTGGCCCATCAGCACCGAGTCCGGGCTCCACCCTCAACCCTCTGAATTTTCTAGGTGGAGGCCCAGAGTCATACGTGTTTTAGAGAAGCCGCCCAGGTGGCTTCAAGTCCAAGAGGGCTCAGGGCTGTCTGTCTTGCGTGGCGCCTGGGGACCCCGCGGCACCCGGCAGATGCTGACCGCGGGATCGGAGGACCCTGTGCCCGAGCCTGGCTGTCCAGGCGGGGTGGGGGCGACGGGGCAGGAGGCATGCAGGCTCTGTGGTGGGGACAGAGGGGCGGGGCACGAGCACCAGTGCCCCCCTCACCTCCGCCAGCGCCCCTCGCGCCAGGCGCGGCCTTCGATTTTCCGCGGGCCGGCGGGAAGCTGTGAGGTGCTGGAACGGGAGTGGGTAGATGTGGCTTGCCTGTCTCGTGTCTGACTCACCGTGTACTCTTCTTGAATCCCTCAGGGAATGTCAGTTCAATTCAGAGGGGAATCTTAGCCTGCAGTCGCCCGGGACCTGCTGACACTTCTAGTAGTTTAAAGGGACAGCTCCATTTAAAACTCTCACCTGCTGCCTTACTTTTTCGCTTTATGGAAGATTTTCTCTAGCTGAGTCTGAATCAGGTGGATTACGCTTTGTGGGGGTCGGGGGAGGTGGAGCAGGGCGACCCTGAGATGCCATGTGACCGTGTCTCTCCCCCCACCCCGCCCCGGCATTCAGGACGCCAGCAGGGAGAGCGGCAAGGCCTGCAAGACCCACAAGACGACCAAGGAGCACCGCGAGCGGCCGCGCAAGGACTCGGAGAGCAAGGGCGCCCCCAAGGAGGCGGAGCGCGAGCAGGCCAGGAGCGCCAAGGATGCCGCACGGAAGCCGGGCGAGGGCCGGCCGCCCAAGGAGGAGAAGGCCCCGCCGCCCAAGGCCGCGTTCAAGGAGCCCAAGATGGCCCTGAAGGAGACCAAGCTGGAGAGCGTGTCCCCCAAGGGCGGGCCGCCGCCCCCACCCAAGTCTTCCAGCAAGCGGCCGGCTGCCGCCGACTCGCCCAAGCCCAGCGCCAAAAAGCAGAAGAAGAGCAGCTCCAAGGGGTCGAGGAGCGCCCCCAGCACCTCGCCCCGCACCCCGTCTTCCTCCTTCTCGGACAGAAAGCCGGCCAAGGACAAGGGCGGCGCCAAGGGGGAGAAGGCCAAGGCCGAGGGCGAGCCCAGGGAGGTGAAGAAGGCCCCGGAGGTGGAGGAGTCCAACTCGGAGGACGAGGCCTCCTTCAAGACGGAGGTGAGGCGGCCCCTTCCTCCCCGCCCGCCCCGTCCTGGTCCTCGTCCTCCCCCGTGCTCTGGGAGCTCTGGGCGAGCCTCTGCAGCTCGCCGAGCCTCAGTTGCCCCTTCTGTCCGGGTGCTAGGCCTGCCCTGTGAGGACCCTGTGGACACGGTGCTGGGGGGGAGGCTTCTGGTAGAGCGTGGCAGTTTGGCATGTGGGTTCAGAGCTCTCTTCTTTGGGCAGCCCCCTGCGCGGGCCGGGCTCTCTCAGGGGCTTCTCTGGGGTCAGGGTGGGCGACCGTGTCTCACCGTTGCCCCTTGCCCGGCTACCGCAGGGTCGGTCTGTCAGGGAGCTCACTGCCCAGTAGCAGGGCGTGCCTGTGGGTCTTTGTCCCGCCCTGGAAGTTGAACATGGGCCCCTGAGCCTCGCCCGGCTCCCTTCCCAGGTGACCGTGGGGGTCTGAGCCAGACTACTCCTCCCCCCGCCCAGTCCTGCACACACAGCTCCAGCACGGGGGTCTCAGGTCGGCAAGGCTCGTTCCTGAGCGTGGGCCAGGGTGACGTCCTGTCACCCCTGTGAGAGGCCCTGGGTAACGCTTGCAGGCGGCTCTCTGAAGGTTGCCATCAGCGATGGCTTGAGCCCGAAAGGAGCCAGTCACCAGACTGTTGGCTGGGCAGCCAGACCTCACGGGGCCTTGGATGGTGGTGTGGTCTCTGAGCGTTGTGTGTGGCGTCGGTGGTCAGAGGACGGGAGCTGGGGTGTGTGGATGGATGAGCGAACGAGTGATTGATCCCGCCCCTCCGTCACCCAGCCTGGCCCTGTGTGCCTTTCGGGGTTTCTGAGTCGTCATTCACTCAAAGACGGAAGCTTTGCCCCCAGCATTGCTGCTTGGGGCTCCCGGGGACCTAGCCTGGGCGGTCTGTGTCCATAGCGCCGATGTCGTGAGTGCACGGCTTCCGGGGGCAGCCATTGGAGGTGACAGCGCTGGCTGGGGGTGACGAGTCAGCCCATGGGTGACAGCACGTCCCGCTGGCTCAGGGACGCCTGGGACTGGTGGGACTGGTGGTGCCGTGTGCCCAGAGCCTCTCACGGTCAGGAGACACTGTCTGCCAGTGGAGAAGAAGGTGGCAGCACCGCGGGGTGTCCAGGGCCGTGCCAGTAGCCCACTCAGCTGCTAGAGCTTCTCTGGGAGCTTCAGAGTGCCCCAGTCTGTCGTTTGTCTCCTCCGTCTGCTCTGCACCCGGAGCTCTGGGCAGGTGCCCTTCCCTCCTGGCCACCCCCGGTGCAGCCTTTCTGCGCCTGAGGCTGGTGTACCTGCGCTGGGAAGAGGTGGAGGCCTCCGCTGGGGCCCCCCTGGCTTCCACGCTGCCGTCCTGCTGTGATCGTGCTGAGCACCTGGGACGCTGTGCGGGAAGCTTCCTCCACCTGGGCTCTGCTGCTTAGAGCAAGCTGACTGGACACGCGGCGTCTGTGGCCTGGGGCCCTGTGGTCCCGAGGCTGGGGTTGCTCGAGGAAGCCTGGGGGTTTCTCTTGGCTGAAGAGGCACGTCCTATGCCCTGGGAGACTGCTGAACGACAGGCCTTAGCCACTCGAGGTCTGTGCAGGATGCCTGGAGTTTCTAGGGCTGCCAGACAGTGACTCACTGACATTCCCCAGCCCTGGGACCTCAGCAAGGCACAGACATCTGCACTGGAGGAGGCGAGACAGCTTTCTAGACCCGGGCCTCCCCAGCCTCTCTTGACCGTCTCAGACCATCCCTCCCTGGAGGCCACGTGGAGTGCCCCCACGGGGAAGCTCTGTCCGTTGTGCAGAACCTGAGTGGCTTCCTCTCCTTGGCCCTCAGAGGCAGCCGGGCACCTCGTTGTCTGGGTCCCCAGGCCAAGCTCCCCAGCTCCTCTGGCTGCTTCTCTGTGGTCTCCTTGGCCCGGGGTTCCTGAGCCAGTCAGTGCCGGGCCCGGGAGTGCAGGGAGCACAGCGGGCCCCTCCACCCTCCTTCTGGATGCTCCATGTGGCCTGAGCACCGGGACACTTCAGCAGCACTCACAGTGACCTCTCATGGCCTCTCTGGCCCACCTCCTCTAGGCTCTTTTGGCTGAAACCATTCTGGATTCTCTTCCCCACTCCTGCTCCTCGATTTGTGTGGAAGGAGAAGGGACAAGTGCGTCTGAGGAGCTCTGACCTGCTCTGTTGAGGACAGCGCTAGTGCTCGCCGCCCTAGCACAGGGCCTGAGCTGGCCTCCCAGTGACGCCACTTCCAGAGTCGGCTGAGCCAAGCCTGCACGCGGGGTGGCCTCCTCCCCTGGGAGTGAGAGCACGTGCAGAGGTGCCGGGCAGGACAGGCTTCTTTCCGTGCCCCAGGAAGGACAGGCCTGGCTGGGTTTTCCCCACTGGGCACCCCTGGTCACCCCTGGTCTGGCTCCTGGCCAGCCCTGCCACTGTGTGTCAGCCACAGACCCTGCCACTCATGCCCCCTGCCCAGGAGTTCTGTCTGAAATATCTGCCCCAGAGCTCGGAGGCACGATTGACATCAAGCTCTGTGCTGGCAGCTGGTGCACACACGCCTAGAGGCCGGCAGGGCAGCTCTTTTACAGGTGGGGAAACAGGCTTAAAACTGGGCACTGCCTTCCTTGGCCAGTTGGTGAGAAAGGTGGAGTCGGAACCCAGGACCCCTGAGCCAGAATAAGAACTCGGATCTGCATGCAGGAGGGGCCCCGTGGCGCCAGGCCCATTGTTGGGGGCCAGGGGGTCACGCTGGTCTGTGTGGCACCCCACAGTCAATGGTGGTTGATGGAAACCTAGGCCAGATTTTCCAGGGAGGTTCCCCAGGGAACACCGTCTGCCAGTGGGAAGGGGCGAGTGGGGGACGTCATCAGCCGGGGCACGTTGGGAGGGCCTGGAGCGGATTGGGTTGGGCCCCGGTAAGCCCTAGAGAAGAGACCCCTTGAGGTGAAAAGGATTCTGTCCCCAGCAGCCTGGCCACTCTGTGTCTACTGAGTGAGGAGAGACTTGTGCCTTCCTGGGTCCCCTTCTGTAGGCTGGGGGCTGGCTTTGGCCCACAGACCATTGAGAGGGGCTATCCCGAGCCCCAGTGGGTCAGGGGCTCCCCCTCTGGGGTCTCTTCCGCGGGGCTCAGGCCAGGACCAGCAGGCGCTGCTAGGTGCTCTGCTTCTCTGCTGGCCCCTCCATCCTCTTGGCGAGGAGAGGTGCCTGGAGGTGGGCGGTCCCCAAGGACTCAGGCTGCGCAATTCCTCCCGACGGCCCTCTGAGGCGAGAAGGCCGGACAGCCCCCGGCCCGAGGGTAGGCCTGCGGGGTCTGAGGCCGCCCCTGGGTGTCTGGGGTGCTGTGGCCGGGGCAGGTTTGCTGAGCCGCAGACTCAGCCTTTCAGAGCCTTGCCCAGGCCCCGGGCTCACTCACAGCTTTCTCTGCCGCACGCACCTTTGGGGAAGCTCGTCGGCAGAAACTAAGGGATCAGCGCTCCTTGTGGCGGGGCCAGAGGCCCTTCCCCACGCAGGTGTCTGGAGTGACCCATCTGTCCCCCCAGGCCCCGTACCCACTTGTGTCCTGTGGCGTGGTGTCCTAGTCTTGGCTCTTACTGCCCCCTGGTGGCTGAGTTGGGCTAGGTGGCTGCAGGAAGAGAAGGAGGGGGGTGTGACTGACTCTGGGGACCGTGGGGCCAGACTCCAGTCCACCAGGTCCTCAGCTGTTTGTCAGGTGCATGCATACTCGTCGTCACCTCGGGCACCTGGGGTGACAGCAGCCCGAGGCAGGGAGACAGCTTTGTGTCATTACTCAGCCTCGAGACAGGCCGTGAGGAGACGGGCAGAATGAGAAGCCGGGTCTCTGCACCCGCTTCTCCTGTTCCAGACCTGTCAGCTGTTCTCTGCAGCGCCACAGCCCACACCGGCTGCTTGGGCTCCCACCGGAGGAGGGCAGGGCCCACAAACAGATGAGCAGCCACAGACGCGCTGCCCCTTCCGCTGCATCAAGAGCTTGCCCTGTGCCCCATCCTCCTGCCTAGGCAGATGGGAGAGCAGAGACATGGTCTGGCGCTTCCCCTGGAACTACTAGAAATTCACACCCCTCAGTGGGAAAGGAAAGGGCATTGGTAGCATTTTGAATGGGAACTGGTGTTGTCCTGGGGCTGCAGGGGGAGCTGGGAGCTGGGCCGCGTGGACCTTGGGAGGTTGGTTCTCAGGAGTGTGTGTGCCTTGGGGTCTGGCGCCCGTGTGACCTCTTAAGTGCAGATCTGGGGGAGACCCATGGCGGTGTCCCCACTCCAGTTCTTTGGACTGAAAGGTGATTCTTGTCTTCTCGCCCGCTGCCCGCCCCACCCTGCTGTGGGGTGAAGTCCGCCCAGTCGAGCCCCTCCAACTCCAGCTCCAGCTCTGACTCCAGTTCAGACTCGGATTTTGAGCCATCTCAGAACCACAGTCAAGGTGCGTGGTGAGAAGGGGAAGGGGTGGGAGTGTTCTCGGGGGAGGGCTTCCTGCTGTGGGGGCAGCCACGGGCCTACTGGGCTTGTTCTTGGATCAAAGGGGTTCACGAGTGATTTCCCCTGGGGGCTTACTCCATGCATGCATTTTAGCACTCTGAGTTTGACGGCTGTGTCACTGCCAGAAAAACTCAGTGACAACTTACCTGAGGGCAAGGGGCAAATGGGGGAGGGTCCAGAGCCGTGGGGGAAGGCCTAGGGCGATGGGGAGGGCCCAGAGTGGTGGGGGAGGGGTTTGGGGGAGAGCCCAGAGTGATGGGGGAAGACTCAGAGTGCTGGGGGAGGGGTTTGGGGGAGGGCCCAGAGTGATGGGGGAGGGCGCAGAGGGATGAGAGGGCCCAGAGTGATGGGGAGGGCCTAGAGTGATGGGGGAGGGGTTTGAGGGAGGGCCCAGAGTGATGGGGGAGGGGTTTGGGGGAGGGCCCAGAG